GGGGGCGGCGAGGCCGGGCATGGAGGTGTACCTACCAAGCCTAGTGGGAGTTGGGGATGAAAGCAGAGAATTCTTACCTGAAAAAGTATCTTTAAAGCTGAGACCTAAAGTTTACTGGCAAAGGAAAGAGAGAAGTCAGAGTAAGAATGAGTGAGGCAGGAAGAATAGCCTGTGTAAAGATCCTGAGGCCCAGAAGAGCCTAGCACAGCTGAACTGGAAGGAGCCAAAGGAAGAGAGGTTCTAGGAGCTCTGCGGAGTCATACCATGCAGAGCATTATAGACCAAGTTAAGGATTTCCTTTCTCCTATAGGCAGTGGAAAACCATAGAAACTTTTTTGAGGAGAGGGTTTTGATTTTCTTTGGAGTAGTAAATACATGCACATTGGTTAAGTTCCTCCAAACACTACACAAGGGCAGACTTAAAAAGTCTCTCATCTCTGTACCCCAGTGTTCCTGTTTTCTTCCCTAGAAGCAATTTGTCACAAATTCTTATATATCTTCACTGAAGAATTAAAAAAAGAAAAGTGTGACATGATCAGATTTGTACTTCAGGAGAATCGCACAAACAATTGAATTCCAAAAAAAAACACAGGAGGCTTCTGGTTCCTTCCAGATCTGGATCACTACTGATCCTACTCTGCCAAGCTGCCCAAGCTGCACTCAGTTGAAGGGTATGGCCACACATTCTTTCAAGAAGTGCTCAGTGTTTATTAAGGTGCTTGGTACGTGATAGACATTGAGAGCATACTTGCTGAAATAATGAAGATGCTGTAGGAGATACACAAACGAGCCATTCACTCAGCCACTCTTCTGAATGACCACTTGGCACATTCCTCTCCTTCCTCAAACCTCTACCATCTCCTACCCTATACTCTCAGCTGATGGTCTTACTTCCTATTTCACTGAGAAAATATAAGCCGCCAAGAGAACTTCCTTGAACTCCTACCACCACATCCATCAATCTTTTATCTGTGCACACAAGCTCTGTGTTCTCTCCTATACCGTGGAGAAACTGTCCACGTTCCTAGAGGTCAACCTCTCCTCTTTGCTACAAGTGCCACATCCTCTCAACAACTCAAGACTGTCACTAGTATTTCTCACCTCCTGCATCATCAATTTTTCCCCCTCTACTAGATCATTTTCACTAGCATGATGCAGTTCCTCCCATCTTAAGTAAAACTCCTCTCTTGACAGCATCATTCTCCGGCTACTGCATTTCCCTGTGCCCTTTTTCAGCATAACTCCTAGAAAGTGTTCGTATTTGCTGTCTCCAATTTCTTCCTTCTTTCGTGAACTCATTCTGATCAGGCTATTATTCATGTAATTCCGCTGAAACTGCTCTTGTCAAAAATTAACCTCTGTGTTCCCAGACCTCTTCTCTTTATACCAGCCTAGACTGACAAGTCCCAGATAAAGATATCAGTGCCCCTGTATGTGCATGGCATGGGTGCGTCTGTGTATTTGCATATTTGGGCTGCTCCTGTCCCCCACCTTGAGCTCAGAGACTCCCTGTGGGCTTCTAGGTACAGCCACACTGCCCCCAGATCCTGCCCCTAAACTGACTATTTCCCTAACATTTGTCATAGCTACTCACTCCCTCCTTAAAATGTGTTCTTCTGAAAAACCACTTTCTCTCAGTTTGTCTCCTTTTTCACAAGCCTCTCCTTCTGGGTCTCCTTTCCTACATTCTTTCCTCTTCCTGACCTGTAAACATTGGTATGGCCCAAGACTCAGAAGATCCCTTCTCCACCTATAATCATTCTCTATATAATCTCATTCAGACTTTAAATACCATCTAGATACAGAAAACCATCTGGTAGTTAGCAGAGGGGGGAAGGGGAAGGGCAGGCAAAATAGGTAAAGGCAAATAAGAGGTACAAACTTCCAGTTATAAAATAAATAAGTCGGGATGTAATATACAGCATATAGGGAATATAGTCAATAATATTGTAATAAATTTGTAAGGAGACAGATGACAACTACACTTATTGTGGTGATCATTTTGTAATGTACATAAATATCAAATCACTATAATATACACTTGAAATTAATAAGGTATTGTTTGCCGATTGTACTTTAATTAAAAAAATATATCTCTGAAGGATACAAGAATCTGGTGACAGTAGTTGTCTCTGGAGAGTAAAAAGGTGGCTGAGGAACAGAGTGAGTGAAAAATTCCTTATACCGTAAAGTCTTGTTCCTTTTGAGTATTTTTATTATGTATATGTGTTACATATTCCAAAAAAAATGAATTAAGTAATGCAAATAAATATTCAAATAAATAAATAAATACCATTTATATTCTGACAACTCCCAGATTTATATTTCTAGCCTGGACCTCTCTCTTGAACTCCAGATTTGTGACCCTTCTAAGCACAGGGCCCCGTGCAAAGATTCAAAAGGCCAGGTGCCTTGTCTTCAGGTGAGACAATTCTACAGTGCTACTTAGGCTCTAGAGTTCCCCCATGATAGACTGAGGCAACACTCAGCTAAACCAGGAATTGGCAAAGTTTCTATAAAGGGTTAGACAGTTAAAACTTTAAGCTTTGTGGGCCATACAGTCTCAGTCACACCTACTCAACTCTCAGTCACAGCTTCTCAACCCTGGATTCATAGATCAAAGTGCCCACAGATAATATGTAAACAAAATATTTGTGGCTATGTTCCAAAACAGATTTGGTCTGAAGGCCAAAGTTTGCCAACCCTGAGCTAAACATAACTTTTGTCTAGCTCCTTCCCTGCTCTCTCCTGCTTCCTTTGTTCCCTTACGGGTTTTACTTGAGACCATTCACCTATCATTCACTTACACAAGAAACCCATCTCAGACTTTGTTCCTAGGGAATCCAACCCAAGACAGCACCCTTCCTACATGTCCCTCCTGTGGGACACTTAAGACATATATCACAGGGTGCTGAAATTGCCTCTGTCCCCTCCATACCAGATTATAATCTCTTTGACATAAGTTTTGTCTCAGTTCCCTTATCAGGTATAGTCTTGTCCACCTTTTAATAATCAGGATCTAGCATATTTAATTCCCACTACTACCCTATAATGCAAACACCATCATTATTACTATATTACATATGATGAAGCCAAGACTGAGAAGTGTAAGCGCCCTCCCGAGAGCACATGGGAAGGTTCACTTTGAGTCCTCTTTTCTATTTTGCCCCCCTCATTCTACTCATCACCAAATCTTGTTACTTGTGTCTTCACCAAGTCTTCTTTGAGTTACTTTTTTTACTTTCATATCAGTTAGGCTGTCACCCTAGTCTGGCATCCTAATAGATTATCTGGGTGAGCGATGGGGCAGGAGGGGGACTGCAAGTATTGATTTAAATTTGTCATTCCTCCCACCCTCCCCCAGATCAGGGCTATTTGTTCTAAAATTAAATTTTCATTTTTAATAAATTCGTAATGGCACGAAATTCAAAAGGGGAAAAAGGATTACATAGTTAAAGCCTCCCTTCAATACTTGTTTCCCAGCCACCTAATTTTCCTCCCAGAGGCAACCACTATTACCTGTTTCTCATTTATCCTTCAAGGATACTCATGAATATGTCTGTATTTTTTCTTATTGGCTATATGTTATTTTAGTATGAATGTGTTATGTTGGATTTTCCTCACTTGAGCTAGCTTTCTTTAATGACATTTAATGAACTAGTTGGTTATACCCTCACTTTGCTCATGAAAGGATTTAAGGCCCTTTGTGTGTGTGTGTGTGTGTGTGTGTGTGTGTGTGTGTGTGTGTGTGTGTGTGTGTTTGTGTAAAATATGAGAGAAAAATGAGGCAAAGGAAAAATAAGGATGGGAACTTTTCAGTGACACTCCACTGTCTTCAATTTAAAGTCAGAACCACACCTTGACTCACAAGGCTAGGCACAAACTGGCCTCAGTTTACCTCTCTAGCCACATGACCCACCCCATGCTGTAGCCACCCTGAACTCCTTCAACTCCCTGCACACGCCATTTGTTGTCTTTCCCCGATCTGGATCTTTGCGTAGGCCACTGATGGAATATCCCCACCCCTTTGTCTTATTAATGTCACATTTCAGCTTAGCCTTCAGTTCCTTAAAGTAACTTTTCTGGACAGCCTCCCTCCATCAAGTTGGGGTGAGCCTTTTTCCCCCGTTCTTCTTTTTCCCCCGTTCTTTTTTGCTGCCTGGACTTCCCCAAGCATGGCACATATACATTGTATTTTAATAGTTCGTTTCCTTGTCTAAACCTCCCTCTTGTGAGGTCTGGGACCTCTTTATCTGATTTACTGTTGCCTACTCAGTGCCTAGCCGGTCCCAGCGCACAATTGGCATGTGATAAATAATTGTTCCACAAATGAATGAATCCAGAAATTAAATTAGATCCCAAATCCTATACCCTTTCTAGAGATGAGTCACAAATTTGAC